TGGAAAACGTGTTTTGGTTTGGACATGTTTGTTTTGTTGTAGTACGGAGTTAGACTGATGGCCTTAATCTAAGTTTTTGTGGTTGTTGTTGTTTGACTTGCATCCCACTGGGATTTTTTGCACACAGCGTTGGTGTACGGTGCTTTTTTCAGGAATATTTTTGCTGGTTTTTTTCCATGGATTTTCTGTTTGCACAGTCACATAGTCACTTTAAGATGTTTTTCTTGTTCGTCTTTTTGTTTCAAGAGCCAAATGGCTCACAGGGCTATACCAAAATAAACTGAACTGAACTGACTCTGGACGCTCGCTCCACCGACAGACTCCACCATCATCTTCCGTCACCTGACCATGCTTCCTTCTCGAACATTCCCGTAGCCACCAATCCCTTCGCACTCACAACTGATACCCCTGTCATTACCTCCCGTGGCCACTAGTCCCTTCACACTCACAACTGATTCTCCTGTCATTACCTCTCGTGGCCACCAGTCCCTTCACACTCACAACTGATACCCCTGTCATTACCTCTCGTGGCCACTAGTCCCTTCACACTCACAACTGATACCCCTGTCATTACCTCCCATGGCCACTAATCCCTTCGCACTCACAACTGATACCCCTGTCATTACCTCCCGTGGCCACTAGTCCCTTCACACTCACAACTGACTCTCCTGTCATTACCTCCCGTGGACACCAGTCCCTTCACACTCACAACTGACTCCCCTGTCATTACCTCCCGTGACCACCAGTCCCTTCGCATTCACAACTGATACCCCTGTCATTACCTCCCATGGCCACTAGTCCCTTCGCACTCACAACTGATACCCCTGTCATTACCTGCCGTGGCCACCAGTCCCTTCGCACTCACAACTGACTCCTCTGTCATTACCTCCCGTGACCACCAGTCCCTTCACAATCACAACTGACTCCCCTGTCATTACCTCCCGTGACCACCAGTCCCTTCACACTCACAACTGACTCCCCTGTCATTACCTCCCGTGACCACTAGTCCACTCACACCGCATGCAGGCTCTACTGTCGTTACACATCTCTTCTTCGTGTAACAGTTTTTGTTGTACGTAAAATATTGAAAACCTTTTAACGTTCAGTGCTTTGAGCATGGACAAAGCGCTATACTAATAACACGCATCATTATTATTATTAGAGGAGAGAATTTGCCTATGGGGGCGTGGATCTCCATGGAGATCGGGGTGATGAGATCATATCATTGCGCAGGAGTGAGATGCTGTTGGTGTGAGAAGGCCATACGATCAACCTGGCAGTGTATTGATCGTGCCTGCTGCTGCTGATGATGATGTTAATCCGTTAAGATTTTTATATATATACGTAGGTAATGAAAAGTTGGACCAGGGAAAACATGGTAATTATCGGCAATTATCGGCGTCAGGCTGACAGAAAAGGAATGTTACCCTGGGGAAGTGGCGCCCGTTCGTTGCTATTGTTTTGCGTTATCGTTTTGTTATTATTGTTTTATTGTTATTGTTTCGTGTCATTACACTGCAGACACCCGCACCTCCGATTATCACGATTGGCTCCGTGCGGTGCAAAAGAAGTTCAACATACATACATACATAGACTCACACAGAGACCCATAGACTCACACAGAGACACATAGACTCACACAGAGACCCATAGACTCACACAGAGACACATAGACTCACTCACACAGAGACCCATAGACTCACACAGAGACCAAATAGACTCATACAGAGACCAAATAGACTCACGCAGAGATCCATAGACTCACAGAGACCCATAGACCCACACAGAGACCCATAGACTTACACAGAGGCACATAGACTCACACGGAGAGCCATAGACTCACACAGAGACCCATAGACTCACACAAAGACACATAGACTCACACAGAGACCCATAGACTCACACAGAAACCCATATACTAACACAGAGACCAATAGACTCACTCGCACTGTCGGCTACGTACGGTGCGGAAGACGTTCAACAGATAATGCAATACATACAACACCTTAATATAGAGAGGACCGCAGAGCTTGGGAAATTGTTGGTCGCGTACGCTCACCACGTGACTGCTGCCTTCCCCGCTCGTCTAAGTCGTTCTCTCTCTCTCCCCGAGAGTCAGCGAACAGTGAGTGGTGACGCATTTCCAGTTGACATTACTCGAAGAGTTTGTTGGTAATTATGTAATGTCCGACACCTCGCTTACATTGCAAAAGGCCAAACGCTAACCGCAGCTCCTAGGGAGGCTGTGCGTATGTACGTTGAACTTCTTTCACACCGTACGTAGCCACCCGCCCCAATCGGAGGCGCGCTGCTGATTACACGGCGACACTCTTCGCGTAATAATTTAAACCGTCCGCTGTTAATGAGTGAAAGAAGGTCAAGGTAGAGACACTGCGTTATTTCCATTGTCAACAATAAATAACGGCCGAAGCCTCGTGAGCAAAGGTGTACGGATGGGAGGGAGCGGTCAGTGGAGCAGAGTGGAGTTCACGTTCGTACGTACCGTACGTGTGTACGTTAGCCAACCGTGCCAATCGGAGGTGCGGGGAAAGGACAACAAAGTAAACACGACGACAAGCAGTCCCTAAAGAAACGAGCTTGTCAATCTAGATGAAGAAATTAGGAGTGCACAGCTCCCAGTGCTTTCCTAATATCGGAAGGAAGAGAGCGTTCCAGACGGCCCCCGGAATCGCATCTGAAAGCCTCCGCGCGACGATGCGGTGACCGCCGCCTTTGTTCGATGGCTGAGCCAGAAGCCGCTGCGAGGATGTCCGCGGAGTTCGCGCGACGATGGTTCATGCTCCTTGACGGGATCGGCGAGGTGTTGCGCGTCATTTTCGAACCGGCACTTTGTGGGTAATGCGTGGATTGCTAAATTTGAGAGTGGGACAAAACACAGACACGGAGACACACAGACAGACACACCAGCAGAGAGAGAACACACACAGAGACACACAGAGGGAGAGACACACCAAGACACACTGTGTGTCTCCGTGTCTGTGTTTCAAATTTAGCAATCATTGGAAGAACGTAATCAACCAGGTTGCTGTGTTGACTGTTGTGTTGGCCGACTCCCTGTGTTGTATTGCATTGTAGTTCTGAGTTTACGATGTTTGTTTTTTCGCATTCATTAGTGCCTGATGATGGTTGCTCGTGTTGCAATCGAAACGTCGTTTTATATTATTATTTTATTTATTTTCTTTCTACGTGACTTTACCGAATAGAACCAAAGAGGGATACTTCTAGTTTCGTCTGAAGGCGTCGCGGGAGCACGCAGGGTGCTGATTGCCCCGGGGTTTCACAACCACCACTGCCCTCCCTAAGGAGGGCCCCGGCTATTGGCCACCTGAACGCCATCAAAGTGCAGTGGTCCCTCGTTTATCGCGGGGGATACGTTCTAAAAAATAACCCGCAATAGACGAAATCCGCGAAGTAATCAGCTTTATGTTTTACAATTATTATACATGTTTTAAGGCCGTAAAACCCCTAACCACACACTTTTATACACTTTTTACAGGCATTAACATTTTCTCACATTTCTCTCTTATTTAAACACTCTCAAAGTTCAAACTTTCGCAGATTTAAAAAAAATAAGTACAATATTAGTAAATTAAACCAAAAATCAAAACCTGTTTTCAAGCCCAAACATTTTTGTAAATCTGGCTAGCCGAACGCATTCTGTACTCCCTTAGCTAATCAGGACGCAGAACACGTGTGCGGTTCTCCCTTAGCCAATCAGGACGCCGAACACGTGTGCGGTTCTCCCTTAGCCAATCAGGACGCCGAACACGTGTGCGGTTCTCCCTTAGCCAATCAGGACGCCGAACACGTGTGCGGTTCTCCCTTAGCCAATCAGGACGCCGAACACAATGCGCGTTCATACTGTACGCAGGAAAAAAAAGCACGCAAAATTACACTAAAAAAAATCCGCGAAACAGCGAGGCCGCGAAAGGTGAACCGCGTTATAGTGAGGGACAAGTGTGGTTAATGAATTCGCGATGTTGGCCTTACGCGTCCTGATTTTCCCGCGATGAAATTTCAATTTGTACAAAGTCCAAATGGACTTGGGGGGTGGTGGTGGGGAGGGGTTCAGATTTGTTTTTAAATAAATAAAATCAACTCCGTACATTTTTTTTGTGTGTGTGGGATTAGCCGCGCTAAAGAGCTTTGTGGTTCAATCCGTGCTTTAAACGCATTCCTTGCAATCCCTAACGACTGAAACATATTAGAATCAACTTAATACAGTATACAACGCATGACACAAAACGCGCCACGGATTTAAATTCGCGGCGTGGAGCGGCCGGCACCGATCGAATCCGTGCAGAGAGACCACGAATTGAGCAGCTACTGCGACAGGCCGAGCGTCTGCAACGTCAGACACGGCTTGTGCGTCCGTAGGTTGTTCACGTTAATGTTTCATTTCACGTACGCAGTGCCGGATTAATTATCCTAGGCGCAGCAGTAGCTACTAATTATAATTATATAGTAGCTACTAATTATGTAGTAGCTACTACTACATAGGCAGTAGCTACGGGCCACGCACTTTCAAGGGCCCCGCGCTAAATGCTTTCAAGCTGTCAATTCCGCTTCAGTGATTCTGCACTTGCTCCATTACTATAGTACTATACCGCCTTCCACGTTAACGAACGACCGGGTGTTTAAGGTTAGCGGATTGTCGTATTATCTGGCTGTATAGCAAACGGAAAAATACAATTACTTTACTACTATATGGGTATTCTTAGTTCTTTCGGTAAAGTCACGTTGAAGGGAAACAACAAAATAATAAAATATATAAACAAGATATTAAAAATATATTTTATTATTTTGTTGTTTCCCTTCAACGTGACTTTACCGAAAGAACTAAGAATATGAATTACTGCAGTCACGAAAGCTTTAAATCAAAATTTACTCTATGGGTCTTTCGGTAAAGCCACGTAGATAGAAGAAAAAATAAGAATAAAAAAATATCACGCCGTTTCGATCGCAACACAAGCAATCATCATCAGGTGCAAGTAAAAAAAATGTGTGTTTAATGTCAACGGTTTTTTTTTGGTTCATTTAGGGCCCCTTAATAACATTTACCACTGCCCCCCCACGAAATCGCTTAATCCGGCACTGCCCTTACTCCTTGCACCGCCCACCGCACAAGGTCGAGTACAGCCACACGGGTGGCACGCGGGGTGGGAGCACGTGGAGGCTATTGGGCTGGGGGCGAGCTTCCTCCTTTGGGGGCAGTCGCTCCGATTCGCCGTACCCCTTGGGACACGGCTCTGGCCGTCCACCAACACAGCAACTCGCCAATTCGTTGACGAGTCCACGCAACGGCTTCCGTCGCGCGAGCCGCACGGCGAGGCTCACGATTCGCGCATCGGATCGACCACCGCCACCCCCCACCCCCCCGCAGCGAGAACGGCCACTGCGTCCCATCGCTGGTAGGTAAATGTGCGCGCGGTGCAACCACAACAACCACAACAAACACAACAACAACAACAAAATGACACGCACGCACGCGCGCGCGCGCACACGACAAAGGCAAAGCCCCCCACCCTCCGGTATAGCCTCAACAAACTGTTGGGGCAAGTGCTGTACCGCCAGCACGTGCTGGAAATTCACCTGCCACGGGATTGCTCCCTAGGATCTACGTGCAAACAAAAAAACCACACACGCAAAAGGCGAAGATCCCCCGTATAGCCTGAGCAATATTTTTTGGGGGGGCAAGTGCTGTTAGCGAATAGCACCCGTGAAGGCCGGAACGGTATACGAGGGGGTGGGTGGCCAGCACCACGCCCGACCACCTTTGTCTCCCCAGTGGCGACGCTTACACACCGCACTGGGTACTAATTTAAGGCCGAGTCGACCTAGGGGGAGGCCCAAGACCGGTTCAGATCATCGTCACTCATGGTGTTGGCCGTGTACGGGAATCGAACTCGTGTCGCCGGGTTCGTAATACAGGGCGCTAACCGGGACACCACCGATATCCATACAAAGGTAAAAAGTTCCCCCGTATAGCCTGAACAGACTCTTTGGGCAAGTGCTGTTAGCGAGCAGCACCTGTGAAGGCCGGAACGGCACACTAAGGGGGGTGGTTAGCCAGCAACCACGCCCGGCCGCCTTTGTCTCCCCAGTGGCGACGTTTACGCACCGCACCAGGTGCTCATTTGAGGCCGAGTCGACCTAGGGGAGGCCCAGGATCCCTTCCGATAATTGCCAATGGGCGTTGGCCGTGAGCGGGGAATCGAACCCAGGTTGCCGGCTTCGTAGCGCAGCCTAGCGCCAACCGCTGCACCACCGCTCCTAACGCACGTGCGCGTGCACACACAAAGACAAAGGTCCCCCGTGTAGCCTCTAAGAGAACATTGGGTCATGTGCTGCTGATTCTTTATGTTTTTCAAACGCGCACCTTAGCTGTGAAGAAGCACTAGGGGAGGGGGTGTGGTGCACCCAGAAACCGGGCCGCCTTCGTCTCCCCAGTGCGCCGATGTCTACTGCACAGCCAGGTACTCATTTAAGGCTGAGTCAACCTAAGGGTGGCCCAGGACCGGTTCAGAATATTCGTCACCGTCCGTTGGTGTGGCAGTTCCACTGCTGGATTCTATTTTTTTCCACCTGAGGACGACCGTTTGTGTTGCGATCGAAACGTCGTGATTTATTTTATTTTCTACCTACGTGACTTTAACGAAAGAGCCAAAGAGTATGATGGGATTCCTGCAGTCACGAAAGCTTCAAATCAAGATTACACTTACAATGTGAGGGCCCGCAGACCCCTTAGTGTTTAAAACGTGAGCTGACCACTACTGCCCCCCAGATCCCTCACTGCTTACAATGTGAGGGCCCGCAGACCCCTTGGTGTTTAAAGAGTGAGCTGACCACTACTGCCCCCCAGATCCCTCAATGCTTACAATGTGAGGGCCCGCAGACCCCTTGGTGTTTAAAGAGTGAGCTGACCACTAGGGCCCCCGGGCACCTGGATGATTACAGTGTGAGTTGAGACTTTTTTCATCTTTTCAGATACTTTTTTGATCTTTTTATAACACAACAGGCTTTTTAAAGGCTATTTCAACAATCCCTCCTAAGGGCTATTTCTTAACAGCCTTTTTAAAGGGTTAGGGTTATTTTATTTTACGTGCTTTTCTGTGTTTTTCTTTTATCTACTTAAAGCTGCCTTTAGGTACAAGTTTACTATTAAATCTTGCCACTTAATTGTATTTTTCAACAACAGTATTTGAAGGGTGTTGTCATTATTAATATATTATTTCAATTATTTAATAAGTATTGAGATATGCAATAAATATGTTCACATGAATAGCACACTAGTTCTGAAATATGGACCACAAAGGTTGGAATCGTGGTGCTTCCAAAAGGAAAGCCAAGAAATTAAAGGAGGCAAGAGAGGCAGTTGTGCTTCAAAGTGTTCCACTCATGACTTAAAGCTTTCGTGACTGCAGGAAAATTTTTAAAAACGACGACGTTTCGATCGCAACACAAGCGGTCATCAGGAAAGTCTTAGTTTTTTTGTTATTTTCTTTGGACCTATCTACGTGACTTTACCGAAAGACCCAAAGATAATGTTCAACTCATTGCCAACGTCTTTCAAAAGCCCTCTGATAGTAATAATGATGACAGCAGCAGCACTATTGTCAGCTGTGAGGAAGAAACTAGCACTAGTTCAGTTTCCAGTAATGTTGTCACTCCCCCAGAGCCATCCTTTGAAGGCGAACCCTCAACAGCTCATGGTACACAGGAACCGTCATTTACAACTCAGGAGCAGTTGGGCAGTTCACAAGAATCAAATCAGCAACCAAGCCATTCCTGGTGCTATGAGGTCACTGACCCTGCATTATGGCAAAGCACTTTGAGTGACATTGTTAAGTCAGTGCTTATTGAAAGAGGAGCAGTCCCCTTATAAAACCGCAGTGAACAATACCCAGCTTCAGTCCGAGGTAGAGCGCTTGGTGGAGAGACGAGAAGTTTCAACAATGAACTTCTGAACTGTATATTGCCAAATGGGCAGAAGGTTTCTAGACAGTGGCTACTGTACTCACCCTCAACAGGTTGGGTGTAACTGTTATGCATGCAAACTGTTCTCCAGCAAGCTCGGTGGCTTTAGTCAGGGGTTTAGCGACTGGAAGCGCTCTGAAAGAATAGGGGAACACGAAAAGAGTGCAGAACACAGATCATGCATGCTTGTCTTGCACCAGCGGACAAAGGGCAGTGCTATAGATGCAGATCTCATGCAGCAGCTTGATGGGGAACGTAAATACTGGAGGGACATTTTGGAAAGAGTTGTAGCAGTGATCAAGTTCTTGAGTGAAAGAGGACTTAGGGGAGATAATGAACGGTTTGGGTCAATCCATTACGATTATTTACTTGGCATCCTAGAATTGCTATCACAAATTGACCCATTTTTAGCCGAACATATAAAAAAGTTTGGCAGAAAAGGAAGAGGCACAGTGTCCTATTTATCATCGACAATATGTGAAGAACTCATTGAGCTAATGGGTCAGAAAACTCGCCAAACAATAGCAGATGACGATTCGGGATGCTAAATATTTTTCAATTATTGTTGACTCCATCCCAGACCTGTCACATGTGGACCAATTGCCGTTCGTATTCCGGTTTGTTAACAACAGCGGGAATGTGGTGGAGCGATTCCTGGGCTTTGGGCCAATTGAGAGCCACACCGGTAGAAGTTTAGCAGACTTTATAACCTCTTGTTGCAGCAGCTCTTTCTCCAGCCTCAGCAGTTCTCCTGCAGTGTTTGTCTCACCTTATGACGATTACTTGTGTTGCGATCAAAACATCGTGATCTATTATTTTTCTAACCACGTGACTTTACCGAAATAGCCAAAGAGTATGGATTCCTGCAGTCACGAAAGCTTCAAATCAAGATGCAGCAGACTGTGTGACTTTGATGGTGGAGGGCCTTGGGTTTGACCTCTCAAATTGTAGAGGTCAGTCAAATGACAATACAAGCAACATGTCAGGAAAATACAAAGGGTTGCAGGCCCACCTAAAACAAAAAAAAACCTCTGATAGAGTATGTGCCTTTTTTAACATGTTGCAGTCACTGTAGACATTTTGCTCTTCATCCACACACAGATGGGAGAAAGTCTTTCGGAAGACAGATGTCAGACTGACATTAAAATCGCTATCCAGTACTCGGTGGAGTGTTCGGGCAGAGTCAACAAAGGCACTGTAGAGAAATTACACCCACATTAGAGAGGCCTTCGGTGGTGATCATGAGAAAAGAGATACTCGAATTGAAGCCCTTGGACTATTTGCTGAATTGGACACCTTAGAGATGGTGTTTATGGCACGTTTCTGGGACGTCATACTTGACCGGTTCCATGCTACAAGCATGCACCTGTGGCATTAACTTATCTGGAGCAGCACAGCTTTTGTCTTTGTTGAGAGATTTTGGAGTGGGACAGCGAAACCAGTTTGAGGCTTTTGAAAGGGTAGCCTTAAATGTGGCAGGTTTCTCTCAATCATATCAACACGATGTTCAGTGAAAGAGGAAACGCAAAAACATTTGCAGATAAGAGCTCAGAGCCAGGTTTGACACCTGAGGGGAGGGAGAAGTTCAAAATAAAAAAAATCATTTTATGTGGTCAATGATAAGCTCGTGGAATGCCTTGAACATCGCTTGAACGCTTGCAAGCATTTGACCAGTCTCTTTGGAGTTCTGTTTATGTCAGATCAGGTGTCTAACAGTGATGTCAGAGTGGAAAAGGTAAATTCGCTCTCCGCTGCATATCCATCAGACCTGTACATGAACTTTGCCAACGAACTCATCAAATTCAAGTCTTTCATGTCTGACTCTGAGGGTGAGAAGTGCCCAACTAAATAGCTTGAGACGTTGCAGGGCACTTACTCTGCAGTCAGTGTTCCCCAATGTTTTCGTGGCACTTGGGATTTTTCTATCTTTGCCAGTGAGAAACTGCCAGGGTGAGCGGACATTTTCCCTTTTAGGCAGAATAAAAAAGTGGATGATTTTGCATGGAGGAAGGCAAATTAGACACCAATATAGGAAAGCGGGGGGGGGGGGGGGCTCCAAAAGTCATGTGCCCAGGGGCCTCACGGGACCATGATCCGGCCCTGATGGGTCTCTGTGTGAATCTATAGATCTCTTTGTGAGTCTATGGGTCTTTGTGTAAGTCTATGGGGCTCTGTGTGAGTCTATAGGTCTCTGTGTGAGTCTATGGGTCTTTGTGTAAGTCTATGGGGCTCTGTTTGAGTCTATAAGTCTCTGTGAGTCTATGGGTCTCTCTGTGAGTCTATGGGTCTCTGTGTAAGTCTATGGGGCTCTGTGTGAGTCTATAGGTCTCTGTGTGAGTCTATGGCTATCTGTGTGAGTCTATGGCTGTCTGTGTGAGTCTATGGTTACTGTGTGAGTCTCTGGGTATCTGTGTAAGTCTATGGGGCTCTGTGT